TGTTCCACCCCCTTCCCTGCTACTCCCCCTTAATTTCCCCCATTGACCCCTAACCCCCGCCCACCTTTCCTGTCCCCCGTGCTGCAGTACGATGCGGTGCGCATCACCCAGCTGTATGAGCAGGCGCGCTGGGCCGTGCTGCTGGAGGAGACTGAAAGCACCGAGGAGGAGATGATGGTCTTCGCTGCCCTGCAGGTACTGGAACTCCACCCACCCCCAGACCCCCCCCTTCCCCTCCCTCCCCCAGCTAGGCCGGGATCCACCTCCCGCTGCTGGTCTGGGATCCAGCCCCACCTACCAGGGATCCCCCCCAACAGTCAAGCTGGGATCCATCCCCTTCCCCCCCCTCACATGAAGCACCCGCAGATAGCTAGGATCCATCCTTTCCCCCGCCATGGAACACCCCCGCCAACCCCACAGTCAGGCGGGGATCTATCTTCCCCAGAGCTCGTCCAGTGGGGCCAGGACTAACCATCTCTGGAGCCGTCCCACCCAGCTGGACTGGGATCCATCTGTCCCCCAAGCACTCCCACCTAGTGGGGATCTCCACTCCCTCCAACGGGGCACCCCTACCCAGTATATTTCCACCCCCCACCCCCAGCTGGGCTGGGGTCTATCTTCCCCAGAGCTCACCAAGTGGGGCCAGGGCTAACTACCCCTGGAGCTCTCCCACCCGGGTGAACAAGGATCCATTCCTCCAGGTCAAGCCAGTGGGTCAGTCCCATGTGGGGGCTATCTGGGTGGGTGGGGTGAAGATCTCCCTCTCCCTTCTCCCCAACTAACCTGCCTCCCCCTGCCCTCCAGTATCACATCAACAAGCTCTCCCTGAGTGCTGACCCCACAGAGCCAGATGGGGAGCAAGGCATGGATGACCTGGACTCAGCCCTGTCCAACCTCCAGGTCAAGCTGGAGGGGGGGACATCAACCTCGGACATGCTGGTAAGGGGGGCATGGAGGCATGAAGGGCACCAGCAGAGCTGGGGGGGGGGGGGGGCTAGGTTGGAATATCAGGAGGCTGCAGGATTGAGGGGCATCGGGGGGCTGGGCTGGAGTAGCAGCGGGTGACTGTGTCTTGGTCTCCTGGCAGGAAAATCTCACCACCATCCCTGAGCTGAAGGATTATCTCCGGATATTCAGGTGAGCCCCAGACTCTTTCATCCTCACTATGGGGGCAGGGGCTGGAAGTCAGGATTCCTGGGTTCTACCCCTGCTCTGGGAGCAACGTGGGATATAGTGCTCAGTTCCAATAACATGCCTGACTTCATCCCCCAAGCTGTCCTCTTGCACCTGCCCCATGTCACAGCTCAGGGTCCAAGGGGGACTGTGTGTGTCTTCCATACTTGGGGGGTGCCCGACTGTGCCCCTTCCACCTTGGCACTGACGCCCTCCTCCATAGGCCCCGCAAGCTGACGCTCAAGGGCTACAAGCAGCACTGGGTGGTGTTCAAAGAGACCTCCATCTCCTACTACAAGAGCCGTGAGGAGGCACTGGGTGAGCCCGTGCAGCAGCTCAATCTCAAGGGTGAGTACGGCATCCCTTCCCCCGGCATGTCTTCTCCCCCACACTCTCCCGATCAGACTGATGTGCTCATCCAGCCCGCTGTGTCCCAGCTCGCACAAAGCCTGCTGCTTCAGAGAACTGAGCATAAGCCTTCCCTCAACACTGAGCTCCCCTCACCAGGCGATGCTGGGCGGGATTCCCCCCATGTATATTCCACCTGCAGCACGAGGGTCTCTTGCCATCAGCACCCAGGGTGCAAGGGAATCCCTTTCCCTAGAGAAACGTCAAATCCTCTCTATTCCAACCTCCTGGGCCCTTTGCACTCCAGTAGCAGGGAGTTCCATTGTTAACTGAAAGGAAAAGGATGGGGTTTTCTTTTCTGGCCCCTGCCATTCGCAGCCAGCCACTGGTCTCTGGCATCAACTAACAGCCAGATCTAATCTCCCTAAAGCTGTGGCCTCCCTAAAACTCCTGTAGCAAGTAGTTCCATAGGTCAACACAGAGGCGAGAAATTGTCCCCCAGCCTCATGGGATTTTGAGGTGTTTTTGCAGCCACAATAAAGCATTTTAATCACCAGATACACTGCATTCCACTCCCCCACCCCCAATTTCAGGCTGTGAGGTGGTACCGGACGTCAACATCTCAGGCCAAAAGTTCTGCATCAGACTGCTGGTGCCATCTCCGGAGGGGATGAGCGAGGTGTACCTGCGCTGTGAGGACGTGAGTTGGGGGGCAGCAGTGGGATTGGACTGTGGGGTGGGTGCCATGGGATTATACCCTAGGGAGTCACATTGGAGGATGCATTTGGGATGTACCATGTAGGAAGAGGGTTGTGGGGAGTGAGAGGGCAGTGGGATTACACCATAAAGGGAGGGCTGTGGTGGGGCTATACTGGGGGAAGGGGCTGTGAATTGGTGGGTGAATGGGATTATCATCTAGAAAGGGGGCTGCAGGCTCTGTACTGCTGGGGTCTGGCTACTGAGATGCATTGCAGCGGTGGTCTCAGCTGGGGGTCTCTAGTGCCTCCCCCTCCTTTAACCCCCTCCCTTCCTTTCTCTTCCCTCCCCCCACCCCTCCGCAGGAGCAGCAGTATGCCCACTGGATGGCAGGGTGCCGGCTGGCAGCCAAGGGCCGGACCATGGCAGACAGCACGTATCAGTCTGAGGTGCAGAACATCCTGTCCTTCCTGCAGCTGCAGAGAGCCAGTCCTGACATGCCCGCGGCCCCCGATGCCGAGGCCATGGGCACCCAGTGGCTGGTGTCCCCCCGCTACCAGAAGAAATTCAAGCCGAAACAGGTAGGTGGGCGTTGAGGCAGCAACCCCAACTGAGCTCCCTGCCCCACTCCCTGAAGCACAGGGTGGCCCCAGGATGGAGTCAAACTGACTGCAAGAGGAGACATCCCCTATGGAGCCCCACCTCTAGCACAGCTCCCCCTAATGGGGACGGCACTGACTGCAAGGGCAGAACCCCCTCTGCTGAGCCCCCCACCCTGCCCTGCTCCTTGCAGCACAGCGCCCCCTTCCGTTGCACTTGGGTAATGGGGCCAGCAATGACTGTGAGGGGAGCACCCCCCCCCCACCATTCTCCCGGGAGGTCTCCCATCCAAGCAGTGATCAGGCCTGGAACACAGTGAAACACTGACCCATGTCTCTTGCCCACAGTTAACCCCGCGCATCCTGGAAGCCCATCAGAACGTGGCCCAGCTCTCACTCACCGAGGCCAAGATGAGGTTTATCCAGGCCTGGCAGTCGCTGCCTGATTTCGGCATCTCCTACTTTGTGGTCAGGTGAGGCACCCCTCCCCACAGAGCCAAGGGTAGAACCCAGGAGTCCTGACTCCTTCCCCTCCCCCCCGCTCTAACCACTGGACCCCACTTCACTCCCCTACAGAGCCAGGGATAGAACCCAGAAGTCCTGACGCCCAGTCCTTCCACTCCATCCCCAACCCACTCAACCTCACTCCTCTCCCCCACTGAGCTGGGGATAGAAACCAGGAGTCCTGACCCCCAGCCTCTCCTGCTCTAATCCATAGACTGCTGCTCCCCACCCCAAACTGCAATACAACCCAGGAGTCCTGATGCCCAGCCCTTTCACTTCATCCCCAACCCACTCACTCTTCTCCCCACTGAGCTAGGGATAGAAACCAGGAGTCCTGACCCCCAGCCCCTCCATGCTCCGCAGGTTCAAGGGCAGTAGGAAGGATGAGATCCTGGGCATCGCCAATAATCGTCTGATCCGAATCGACCTGGCCGTGGGAGACGTGGTGAAGACTTGGCGGTACAGCAACATGCGCCAGTGGAATGTCAACTGGGACATCCGTCAGGTCAGTGCAGGGAAGAGGGTGCGGGGCCTATAAGGAGCATGCCAAGCCATTATGGAATCTGGCACAGGGAGAGCGGGTGTAGGGGAATGCCCTAGGAGACACAATTGTATTGGGTCATCTTCTCTCCAGTGCCCGTGGAGGCTGGGCTCCAGGACTCCTGGAGTCTCTTGCCTGGCTCTGGGAGGCGAGTGGGTCTACAAAATCACAGAAATGTAGGGCTGGAAGGGACCTTGAAAAGTCACCAAGTCCTGCCCACTGTGCTGAGGCAAGACCAATAAACCTCCACCATTCCTGACAAGTGTTTGTCGAACCTGTTCTTAAAACTTCCAGTGATGGGGATTCCACAACCTCCCTTGGAAGCCTGTTGCAGAGCTTAACTGCCCTTAGTCAGAAAGTTTTTCCCTAATGTCTGACCTGAGTCTCCCTTGCTGCAGATTAAGGATGACTTCTTATCCTGCCTTCAGGGACCATGGAGAACAATTAATCACCATTCTCTTTGTAGTAGCCTTTAGCATATTGGAAGACTATTAGCAGGTCCCCTCTGTCTTCTTTTCTCATAACTAAACAAGCCCAGTGTTTTTAACCTTTCCTCCTAGGTCAGGGTTTCTAAACCTTTTATCATTTCCATAGCTCTGCTCTGGACTCTCTCCAGTTTGTTCCCATCTTTCCTAAAGTGTGCTGCCAAGAACTGGGCACAGTACTGCAGCTGAGGCCTCCCCAGTGCCAAGTAGAGAAGGACAATTATTTCCCATATCTTACATGCAACACTCTTGCGACACCCCAGAATATTAGCCATTTCTGCAGCTGCTGACTCACATTCAATGTGTGATCCATTGTAATCCTTGCATCCTTTTCAGCAATATTGCTACATAGTCAGTTCAAGAATGGCCTCTCCCCTTGTGGGTTACAAGACTAGGTGCACCAGGAAGCAGCCATTTACGGGGGGGGGGGGGGGGTCATCTCTGCATCCCCATTCTGAGGTGACATTTACCCAGTCAATATGAGGATAGTTGAAATCACCCATTACTACTGTGATTTCTGGTTCTGTAGCCCCTGAAACCTCCATTAGCATTTCACAATCACGGTCACGCTCGTGGTCAGTAGTATATTCCTACTGCAATCCTCTTATTATTCAAGCTTGGAATTTCTACCCAGAGAGATTTTACAGTAGTTTGATTCATTTAAGGTTTTCCCTTTTATTTTTATTTTTTTAAAACATGTAATGCCACCTCACCCCCACCAGCATGACCTACTGTCATTCCTATATATTTCATACCTTGGTATTACCATGTCCCATTGATTAGCCTCATTTCACCAAGTTTCTGTAATGTCTATTATACCAATATCCTCATTTAATGCCAGGCACTCGAGTTCACCCATCTTAGTATTTAGCCTTCTAGCATTAGTATGTAAGCCCTTGTACATTTTGTCAATATTTAGTTGCTTGCCTTCATGTGTTATGTTTAAATGAGAGTCGTATGTTTGACCGTTCCTTACTAGCTCCTATCTGTACTTTACCAACTTCTTTCCTATCTTAAGATACTGAGTTTGCCCTTGAATAAATTCATCCCTAAGGAATGTCTCTACTGAGCCATATGCTCCTCCACACCTGTCTGCTTACCCCCAGCTCTTGGTTTAAAAACTCCTCTACGGCCTTTTTAATTTTGCATGCCAGTAGTCTGGTTCCATTTTGGTTAAGGTGGAGTCCATTCTCCCCCGGTACAAGCTACTTCTTCCCCAAAAGGTTCCCCAGTTCCTAACACTAAAAGGTGGGAGCCAGGACTCCTGTGTTCTTTTCCCCAACCAGCCCCTCACTACCGTCCTCTCTCCCAGGTGGCGATTGAATTTGATGAGCACATCAATGTGGCATTCAGCAGCGTGTCGGCCGGCTGCAATATCGTGCACGAGTACATCGGGGGGTACATCTTCCTGTCCACCCGCTCCACCGACAAGGGCCGGGGCCTCGACGAGGAGCTTTTCTACAAGCTGACAGGGGGCCACGAGGCCCTGTGAGCACTCAGCACTGTACCCATCTCCTGCTGGGCAACAGGGAGGGGGGAAAGCTGGGGCCAACATTGGCCCCACCTACAGGGAGGGAGCAGCCATCTGTACAATGGACTCCTCACCCACCCATCACAACGACCTACCCTCCTATCCCCAACACACCCACCCTCCTCCCCATACAGAACTTAACCAGCCCACCAATCCCTACACACACATTCCCAAGCCCCTCCCCCATGCACCAAAACCCCAGCCTCCACGTTTCCATACAAACCCAGCTAACCAACCCAGCCACCCCAACACCTACCCGCCTCAAATTCCCTACACATAATGCCCCAACACCTACCCCTCAATGGCCTACACAACTCCTGCCCAAGCCACCCCTTAATCCACCCATCCCTTCTCGTGCCCCCTGCCACCCCAGCACTCCTGCATGTGCTCTATGGAAAGGGGAGTACAGGTCCCCAGCCAGCACCCCCTACCCCAGCAGTGTGTGTGTGTGTTTGGGGGGGAGGCGGGGCGTGCGGCAAATCCAGCAGAGAGATGGTTAAACAGGCTGCAGCAGATGGAACAATAGGGATGTTATTTTACACTGCTCTCTCCTGCCCTGATTCTCCTCCATGTCATGACCCTGGAGCCGGCTCGGCCCTGTGGGGGTCACTTGAGGGGTAGCAGACGCCCTGAAAGAGAGAAGAATACAGAAAGGTGTTGGCAGCAGCTGGCTTTCCTGCACCCACCTGCCCTTGCCAACCATGCCAGGGAATGACAGGACCCTCCACCCCACACTGGCCCATGGGCACTTCTCTGCCACTCCCTGGAAGAGGATCAAAGCCACGGCTACTTGGATTCTGCCACGAGTTGCCAGCCAGGCATGTCGGCTGGGACTGCAAACACAGAGTAATAAACCAAGCTCTCACTATGTTGGGCAGGTCTGTGACTCTGTGGAAGGGTGGGAATTGCTCCCCAGACTCCAGGGTTCTATCCCCAATGTGGGAAGGGGAGTGGAAATTAGTGGGTTAGAGCAGGGGGAGTGGGAGTCAGGACTGCTGGGTCCTACTCCCCACTTGCTATATGACTTTGGACGAGTCCCTTCCCCTCTTTCTAGTGGGTGGGGCTCATGGGGTGATGGAGAGGTCAGAGATTATCCTACCCACAATGCCAATCCCCCCCCCCCTCCCGAGAAGGTAGGAGGCAGGGTGGGGGAGACTCTTACTGTCAGGCCGGAGCTGCAGGACTCTCTGGAAGTACTGGGGAGGCAGGAGGCCTTCAGCATCACCCGGTGTGAGGATGACACCATTAGCTGAGCGATAGAACTTGATCCCATCTGCAGGGGGAAGCAACACACAGGGTCATGGGAACCAGGACACCTGGGTTCTATCCTCCACTCAGGGCAGGGACTGGGGTTGAGTGGTTAGAGGAGGGGGCTGGGAGCCAGGACTCCTGGGTTCTGCTGCTGAGAAGATAGGTGCCTCAGTTGGAAGGGTTAAGGAAACTTCTTGGTTTCCACCAGAGACTCTCACCCCCACCCCACTCCCCTTACTCACCTGCCAGCGCCTGGGGCCCATTGATCACTATAGCCACATCACAGTCCTGCCTCATCCCTGTGGACCAATAGTCAAAGAGGTGGTCAAAAGCGGGCTATGGGGAGCAACTCCTAGACACCCACACATCCCCCCAGCTGACTGGGCTTTGTACACAGAACCACCAGTGTCCCTCGGGATCATAGCCCCTCCATCCCCAAAGAAAGCTCCCCACTACTGCACCAGGGACAGGGGGGCAGGACTCCTGGGTTCTCTCCCCAGTACAACGTGCACACTCACCGCTGAGGATATGTCCATCCCCGGGCAGCCCAGGTGCTAGGTGGATATGGTTGCGCCCCATGCGGGAAAGGCCCCCCTGGCAGATGGCCGGCCAGTGCCGCAGGTAAGTGCCATGGGCCATGGTCTGGGGTAGGGCTGTGGGCTCCAGCAGTGGGATCAGCTCTAGCTCTGACACCTGCTAGTGAGGGATTGCAGGGATATCACAATGATGCTTTCGGCCTAGAGTCCCTTTTTGTGCTCCCCTTAACCACCATTCTCTTGCCCCTTCTTATGTCCAAGGTGCCCCTGCCCCCCATCCCCTGAAGCAAGGATCCTGTCCTTCCCCCTGACTCCTCATCCTGGGAGAATGAGGATCCTGCTCTGACCCATCCCGCATGCTCTGGGACCCCAGGTTGTAGGATTCCCACTGCCCACTCCACTCAGTTCCCCCCACGCTTCCCCAGAAGAGGGGTCCCTCTCTGCTACCCACCACCCCTCCCCCAGCACCTGCAGTGAGTGCCCCTGGTTGGCACGGATCTGCAAGCGCCCGTCACTAGGGTGGGAGCGCAGGGCAAAGCGGCGCTTCTCGTTAGTCTCCACGACGTGTCGCACATCGGCCACAGAGACACCCCCAAAGCGGGGCAGGCTCAGCAGGGCAGCCACGTCTACGAACCCATCTAGGGAGGGGAGACAGATAAGACCAGCTAGGCAGAGACCTGCCCCCTCCACGCACTCTGATGGGCTAGGCTGAAACCTGGCCCTTCCCCACACCCCAATGGGCTAGGCCGAGACCTGCTGCCCGCCCCCTCACTTGTCCTCTCCCACCCCCACAATGGGCTAGGCTGAGACTTGCCCCATCCCCACACCTCGAGGGGCTAGGCAGAGACCTGCCCCCCTTGCTTGCCCTGTCCCCATCCCCACACCCCAACCCCCGCCCCATTCATCCTGTCACATCCTCCCTGTCCCCACAATCAGCGAGGGTGAGACCTGCCCTCCGCATGCCCTACCTCATCCTCCCTCCTTGCACAACACCCCCACACCTACACCATTGTTCCCCCAACCAGCGAGGGTGAGATCTGCCCCTCCTTGCATGCCCTATCCCATTCCCGCACAACTGGCTAAGCCAAGATCTAAACCCCCTTTGCATCCCCAACCAGTGCGGCCGAGACTGACACCCCCTTGCAGCTCCTACTCATCCCTCCAACCTTCACTGGTAAGGCCTAGACCTAACCTGTCCTCACATGCTCTAACCCATCCCTCCCCTGATCTGATCTGATCTACCTCATCTCCCGCCCCAACTATGCCAAGGTCCATCTAACCCCATCATCTCCCTCTGCAATCCACTGGGGGTGGTTGAGGGAAAAGACCAGCTTGGCCTCCACAAGATGCCCTACCCCTTCAGGCTCTCCTCACACCCAACCCAGGGCACTAAGGGGCTGAAGAATCCCGGTGTCCTGGGGCAGTGCCCATCCATGGGCCCTCCAGCAGAGGGCAGGCCAGTTCATGTCAGCACACCCCTGTCCCCAATAACCTGCGGGGGCACACAGCCTCTGGAGCAGGGGACTGGGCTGTTTAGTGCAATGAGTCTGTGGATCGCAGGCCCAGCCCTAGTCTCCTTCTCTATGCTCTCTTTCCCAACACCTCTCTGGGCACAGGAAGCACATGCACCAATACCAAGTGCCCCCCATGATGACCCCCTGAACTTTCAGGCCCCAGGGGTAGGTAGGAGAGCCAGGGATCCCATGTCAGCTATGGGGGGTTGTACCTAAGCAGAGGGTCCCCTGTCTCAGCCCTTTCTGCTGGGGTTCAGTAGCTTTCTCTCCATAGGAGAGATGCTGTCCTGAAGCCTGCCTGCAGGGCCAGGGGGAGCAGATGCGTGGGAGTATGGGTGCACTTACCAGCACCCATCTCCAGTCCCAGCTGGGCTGCTCCATGACGCAAAACATAGGACAAGGCTTTGGACAGACGGACATCTGGGTTCTGAAAGAGAGATGGGGACAGAGAATGGAGGGAGTGGGGGGGGGAGGGGGGCTCATCCCAGAGGGATCCCCACATAACTCTCCCCCCTCCCTCCAGAAGCCTCAGTAGAAAGATGAGAGGGGTCTAATGGGTTAGAGTAAGGGGGTTGGGAGCCAGGACTCCTGGGTTCTATTTCCAACTCTGTTAGAGGAGAGGGGTCTAATGGGTTACAGTAAGGGGGCTGGGAGCCAGGACTCCTGGGTTCTATTCCCAACTCACTCCTAGGGAGGGGTTCCTGTCATCTCTTGCCGGCCCCACCCAACCAACCCTGAACTGGAGGGGGGAACCCCTGCAAGAAGTCTGGCCATGGAGACAGGTGTCACCAGCTTAGCCATGGGAGAAGACTGGCTGGAGTTTAGAGTCAGGGGCAGGGGAGATTGTGACTGGCTCTAACCTGGTTCTGCTGCCTCTTTCGACTCCCAGACTTCCGGCTCCCTCTCCCAAGAGCCCTAGGGAGAGGCTGCTGAGATTCTGCCCCCCCTGGATCCATACTAGTCGTTCCCACCCTGCTCCTGTGCTCTGTACAGCCTCAGCCTCCCTAGAGTGCCCCCAGGCAGTTACCCTGTTCCCAGAACCCCCTCCCCACCAATCCCACTCTCCTGCCTCCTCCTGTTCCCAGAACCCCCTCCCCCACCAATCCCACTCTCCTGCCCCCTCCCCCAGAGCCCCCTCTCCACCAATCCCACTCTCCTGCCCCCTCCCCCACCAATCCCACTCTTCTGCCCGGTCCCCCAGATCCCCTCCCCCACCAATCCCACTCTCCTCCCCCCTTCCCCACCAATCCCACTCCCCAGCTCTCTCGCTCCCTTCCTCCTCTTTCTCAGCGTCCCCTTGCCTGGGGGCAGTTACCCAGTCCCAGACCAGACTGCCAGTCTCCCAGTAACCACAGCTGCAAACTGAACTCAACGGCTCCAGCCCCACCCACCAAGCATCATGGACAAATACGTGACCTGGAGGCCCAGCTTTGGGGCCGCAAAGGCCTCTGGGGGTTGTAGTCTTTCAGGTAGAACTGGCCAGCAGTGGGAACCCATCTAGCCCGGTATTCCAGCTCCTGCATGCGCCAGCGGCACTTGCCGGGAGCGGGGGGAGGCTCCCCCTACTGGGCAAATGTGGAATAATGGAGGGCGGGGGTTCCTAGAAGCAGGGTTCATCTTCCATCCCTGCCTATGACTGTCTGTCTAGCCCCAGGCCCACCTATCTGAGCCAAACAGGGCATGTGGGGTAATAGCGCTTATTAGACCAACTTCCCTTGCTGAAATAGACAAGCTTTCACAGGGCTCTTCTTCAGGTCACTCTCCCCATCTGCCTGCCTGTCTATCCCCATACCCACCCATCCATCCCCCTCCACCACTGTCTCTCTGTCCATCCCCTTTTCCTCTCTACTCTGGGCTGGGTCTGGACCCTGCAGCAGGCCCAGCAGTGCTGCCTGGCCACACACGGTGGCGCCCCACATCCGCTTTGCAGGCAGCTCCAGCTCTGGCTGCCAGGTCTCCTGTTTGCAAAGGGGGTTTGAAGGGCCAAGGCTCCGCTGCAGAAGGAAGCATCCCAGATGCCAGCCCCACCATAAGCTGGGGCAGTGGGAGACGGGAAAGGGCAGGAAAGGAGGGTGTTGTGGGGGAAATGAGGAAAAAATGGGGTGAAATTAAGAACAGGTAAACTGAGGCTAAGGGTGAGGTACCCCATACTGTGCAATCCACTCCCTGGGCAGGGACTGGGAGTCCTGAGTTCTGTCCTCAGCATGGGGCGGGGGGTGAGGTCTAGGGGTTAATGTTGGGGGGGGGGAGCAGGAGCTGAGGCCATGACAGCAGCCCTTGGCCAGCAGGAGGTGACTCAGTGAGTCAGGTTGGCTTGTGGCAGCACCTCGTGTCGGCCCAGGGCTTGTGCTCCTGGAGTCACCTTTCACCTCCTTGCTGCACAGAGCCCTTTCCCCAGCACCACCCACTGATATGGACGGCTGGGGGAGGCCCTGACTCACACACCCTTGGCCTAGTTCATTCCACCAGCCAAGGCAGTTGCAAAGAATATGATGATGATAATAATAATAATAATAATTTACTATCTGCTCTGGGTAGGGAGGGCATCCTAGTGGTTACAGCAGCGGAGCTGGGCATCAGGACGTGTAGGTTCTATTCCTGACTTTACCACCTCGCTGTGTGATATCAGGTACATCCATCACCTTCTCTGTCCCTCAATTTCTCCCAGGGTTGGGGCATGGCAGATTAATGCAATTTATGGGGAGAAGACCGAGGGAACTCAGGACAGATGGGGTTGGTGGGAAGGATCCATGCATAGTCCACAGGCTCCCACAGGAGTGATCCTAGGCTGGGAGGGCGCGAGAGAAGGCCGCATCTCAAGGCTTTAGCCGTTCCTCCCACTCAGCTCCGATTATCCAGCTTATTGGCAGCTTGAACACAATTAACGAGCCAGGATTCCAGGCCTCACCATCAAACTAGCCATTCACCCCTCCTTGAGCCGATTAGGGGCTGAGCTGCCCTTGGGCCGGCCGAGACCAGGATTAATGTCTCCAGGGCCCCAGCATCCCAGGACGCCTATGGCTGACGCCTCCAGCCATTAATGTGATGTCATAGGTGTGCAGGGACAACCCCATCCACTGCCCAACTCTGACTGGGGAAAGACCCTGCACAGATCTAACCACTAGACCCCACTCCCCACTGGCCCCAGGAATTTTGATCCTTCTCTACCTGAGCGGGGTGTGTGTGGTCCAGTGGTTAGAACATGGGGTTGGGAGTCAGGACTCCTAGTTTCTTTCCCTGGCTCTGAGAGGGGAGATGGAGCAGAGGCTTTTGTATTATCATCATGAGAGACTAGTGCTATATCCAGCCCTGGGGCAAGAGGGCCAGCTGAGGGGTTGCTGCATGGTAAGACTGGACAATGCAGACCAGAGAGCTGGGGGAACCATCAGAGTCTCCGGGGTGCACCAGCCCCCCTCTGGGGATTGGGATTCCCTTAGAGCTCATGTAGCCCTTGGGAAAGGGGCTAAAGTGTATCCTATCCCCCAGCCAGTGCCCCCTAGAGGGGAAAGGCCCCAAATCCCATTCCACACTCCTCTGGGCTAGCCAGTCGTCCCCCCTCAACACACACACACACAGTTCAGCTCTGATGGCAGCTGGCCGAGATCATCCAGATAGGACGCTATGGGGAAGTGCTGCTGCCTCCTTCAGGGCTGGGCCAGCCCAGTGCATTCTGGGAAATGGGATCATGCCAGAGGCTTAGCACCTGCCACTGCCGTCAAAGAATAAGTTCTTTATTGGGAGATGGGTTCTCAACAGCCATGGCTAAAACAGCCAGAACTGGGCCCTGCCCCTGGAGAGTCTGGTCCTGCAGTGATCCCCCTCCTGCTGGCTCCATGACATAGGGCTGGCATGTGCAGAGAGCTTGCAGGGTCTGTCGATGCTCAGTTTGGCACAGAGAAGCCCCCATGGTGGCCCGGGGAGGTCAGTCCCCTTCCTGTCACTGCCCCCCACCCTGAACCAGGGTGTAGAGTCTGACAGCCCCCTTGGCAGATGGGCACAGCTCCCTCCACATCCCTCCGGTCTGCTCCAGAGTCAGGACGTCCTGCAGGGGAAGCACAGGGACACCATGGGATCAGTGCCAGGGAGCAGGGAGGCAGGGTACCTGCCGGCACCACCCAGAGCTCATGTGTGACCCTTATCGACCACGGGAGCTGGGAGAGCCGGGACTCCCCCGGGACTCCTGGGTTCAATTCCCAGGTCTAAGATGGGAATGGGGTCCAGTGGATTAGAGCAGGGGGACTGGGAGTCAGGACTCCTGGGTTCTATTCCCATCTGCCAGGCTGTGCCTCCCCTTACCTCTCTCTTGATAAAGATGATGCCGGTGGATTCCTGAGCTTCAGGCCCCCCGATCTCATATCTCTGCTTCACCTGCTCCAACGTCAGACTGCACCTGGGACATGGGGCGGCTCCATTAGCAGAACAGAGACAACCGGACCTGAGGCCCAATGGCAGCTGCACCTGTCTATTCTCTGTTCCTATGTGCAGCAAAGTTGAAGCCTGACCTTGTGATAACAGCTCAGGACACCTGGGTTCTATTCCTAGCTCTGCCACTGACTCTCAGATACTTTGGACAAGTTGCATCCCTGCTATGTGCCTCAGTTTCCCCATCTTTAAAATGGGGATAACGATCCTTCTTCTGTCTAGTTAGACTGCAAGCTCCTCAGGGCAAGGACTGTCTCACTGTGTGTCTGTGCAGCACCTGGCATGATGGGGGGCCTCCAATCTCAGTCAGGGTCTGTGCAGCGCCTGGCACAATGTGAGGTCCCAATCTTGGCGCCATGCTAGTATATTTATTTTGGCTGGGGGTGGGGAGGATATGGTAGAGGAAGTCAGGGCCCCAGGATGTGGAGAGAGGTTGCACCCCAATTGCTGATTGGATCTATCACCAGTTCAGGGTTCCTCTAGCTTCTAGATCCAAACAGTCAGGACATGGGTATAAGCCACCAATTGAATCAACAGTGCCTGAGCCAGATCCACCAAAGTGGACCTCTGCCTCCTGAGCTCTCCCTGTGCCTAGCATAGCCCTCCTGGCCTTTCTGTGCACTGAATTAGCCCCATTACCTGACATAGAACTCAGCGCTGGCCCGACCTGCGCTGGTCTGGTTCCGAGCGATGCCCAGCAGCACTGGCTGGCTTAGGGTGGGCAGTGGCAGGTTGACCTATGGAGCAGGGAGGCGGGTTAGTGAGGGGCAGCAGAGCACAGAGACACCAACAGCCAATACCCCACATCTCTCACCTCATCTCGGATCTCCCGCAGGATGGAGTTGAAGATCTCCTTGACAACCATCTGTCTGGGGAGATCCTGCAAACGGATGGATTCTTCTGGGACATCCCCCACCACAGCCTGCAGCAGAGGAAGGAGCCCAGGGTCAGGAAATGCACCTCTGGAGTGGAACACAGCAAGGGAGGTGGATGCCAGGGAAAAAACATTCCTACGCTTACAGGGAGTCCAGGAGATGTGCAATGGGGGCAGGCGGTGGGAGTTAAGGTTTCCCAGGGTGGGGGAGAACTGACTGACTCAGGGGGTGGGGAATGGGATCTGGGGCCTTTCCATTCTAGGGGTGCCGGGTGAACCCACCTGTGGCTCAGGATGCCCCCCGGGGATGTCTATGAGGCCAGGCGCCTCGCCCACCTTCAGGCTGCGCCGTAGGAAGACGAAGCAGTCATCAGCGGTATGCACCATGGCGCCCACTCCCAGCGGCTCCGCCAGGTAGGCCTGGCTGTCCCCAAAGTCCTGCCGCCCCTGCTGCTGGAGGTGCCTGGCCATGCCAGCCCGGTTGGTACCCAGAAAGTCCTTGTAGCAGGTGAGGCCCAGACGAAAGGTCAGGGAGCCCCCATCCAGCTGGGCTGAATGCAGCCGGAATTTGGAGCCGTTGAAAAGCCAGGGGCTGTGGCGGCACCGGGCCTCCCAGACAGCGTCGATCCAGGCCTGGCCCCCGGGCAGCTGGCGCCGGTCGTAGGCTGGGGAGAGCTCAGCCCGCACCTCTGTTTCTGCCAGGCCCTTGGGAGACGGACACTGCAGCATGATGGAGATCTCAGGGTCCATGGTGCTTCCCTGTGCCTCCCAGCCCCGGACACCAGGCTCAGGGCATCTGGGAGGAAAAGATGGGGATCACTCAGTTTCTATGCCAGGCTACCACCCCCTCACACACACCCTGGAGAGCCAAACCCATGGGTACCAAGGCCCCCCACTGCCCTAAAGAGCTGGTTCCATGGGCACTGCATCCCTCCCCCAAGAGCTGGTCCCATGGACACCAGATGCTCCTGATTGCCCCACGAACGCTGTACCTCCCCACACTGCCCCAGAGAACTGACCACATGGGCACTGCACACCCCCTTACTGCCCAGGAGATCCAGGCCCATGGATGACCCCCCCCTTCCTCTACTGCCAGAGAGACCTGGCCCCAGGAGCACTGAGCCTCCCCCATTCACCCAGAGATCTGCCTCCCACTGCCCCAGAGAGAGGGCTCCATGGGCACCAAACACCTCTCCCCACTGCCCCAGAGAGCTGGCCGTATGGTCCCCACATGCCATCCCCTACTGGCCTGGCGAGCTGGCTGCATGAGCACTGCACACCTCCCCCATCCCAATGAGAACCCCCTCGCCCCCAGGACGCATGTGCCCCAAGGTTGTCCGGTGCATGGAGGGGTTTAGGGTGGGGATTGAGCTTCAGCAACTTCCTAGAGGGGCAGCGCTGCAGGCTCATGCCATCCCCTCTGACCGCGGAAGGGGTTCTTAGGGGTGGGTGGGGTTATTAGCGGCAACACCCCAAAGCTGCTAGTTAAACTCCATACACATATAGGGCTGTACTGATGAGAGCAGGGGTGTGCGGGTGGGAGCCAGGACACCTGGGTTCTCTCCCCAGCTCTGGGAGGGGAGTGGGGACTAGCGGATAGAGCTGGGGGCTGGGAGCCATGGACCCCCCTCCCCGTCTCTATTATCCTGGCTGCCAATGAACCGGACACGCGCACAGCTCCCGCCTCCCCGGGGGCAAGGAGCACAGGGGACGGGGCTGCAGCCGGCTAATCCCAGCCCTGCAGGGCAGCCTGCCGGGGGCACATTGTGGGGCCATTCACCCCACGGCACAGCCCGGCCCCTGCGCGGGAGCCCCCGAGCGCTCCGCTCCCCAGCCCCGCGCCGGGCTCAGCGCCAGATTCGCTACCTCCAGCTCCAGCTCCATGGCCCGGCCCCAGCCGCCCCCTTCCCGGAAGTCAGCGGCTGCCTGCGGCCGCGCTGATTGGTTCAGGGTGACTCTAGCCCCCTGCCGGCTGTGCCGCCCCATGGCTCCGGTATCGGGCTGGGCGGCTCTAGTTCCCTGCCGGCTGTGCCGCCCTGTGGCTCCGGTATCCGGCTGGGTGGCTCTAGCCCCCTGCCAGCTGTGTTGCCTGATAGCTCTGTGCCCAGCAGGGTGGTTCAAGCTCCCTGCCCATTCCACCCTATATCTCCAGCATCTGGCTAGATGGCTCGAGCTCCCAGACAGCTCCTCCCACACCACTTTTTGAGAAGCATTTCAGTCACCAGGGGATTCCAATGGGCAGGAGTGACATGGGCATGGAGCCAAAATATGCAGTGTGTGACCCTCTCCCTTGCAGGCAGGGTTGTTCCACCCCTGGCAGAAATCAGAGACATCTGAGTTTATCGTACATGTTTGGCAATGCTTGTCATGCCAATGGAGCACCACTGATGTGAATGAACTGTGGGAAGGGGGTGGGGTCTGGTGAGTTAGAACAGGGGAGTTGAGAGTCAGGGTGCCTGGATTCTATCCCCAGGTCTGGGAGAGGGGGTGGGGGAAGTCAGGACTTGCCAAACTTCTCCAACTCTATTCCACTCATTAGCAGCTCCATTCTATCCCCCATCCCCAGCCAAGGTCCCCGGTCTGTGTTTCCCACTGTGATTAACGCTAATTAGTACCAATTACAAATCAGATTAGACACGGCTTTTCTGGGGCAGATCTCTAATGAATGGAGCCATTGCAAACCTGAGGAGGGGACCTGCATGTGCACACGCATGCGCACATGCACACCTCTCCTCCCAGTGCTGGTGAGAGAACCCAGGAGTCTTGACTACCCAGCTCCTAGGAGAGAAAAGTATCTTATGGTCAGAGGTGGGATAGTGGGAGCCAGGAATCATAGATTGTATCCTAGATTGTGGTCCAGTGGGCTAGAGCAGGGGGGATGGGAGTGAGGACCACTGGATTTTATCCCCACTCTAAGAGAGGAGTGGGGTTTGTGGTTGGAAGGGGCCCTTTGAGTCATCCTGCATTCTGGACATATTTCTGCCACATCCTTGCCATGGGGGCACAGTGACAAGGGCTGTGAAACCCAGCCCCAAATGTCCATCCTGGGGTGAGGAAGAGGGAGCTCTGCCCCATCTGAGTCCATCGTCTATTCTCCCTACTCCCTCCACCTCCTTTGGTGGCGGGGCCACACAACCATGAGACCTACCCTCCTCCCCCCCCACCACACACACCCCTGGACTCCTAGGTTCTAATCCTGGCATTGCCAGCAACTCTGGGCAAGTGGTTCCCCTCCAAGGCTAACTCTCCCTCCAGGTGTGTGTTCATGGCTGGGGGGATGGACCATAAGAGCTTCAAAGCTCCCAAATGGCAAAAAAACTCAGCCCTCTCCCCCCTGCATTTATTAACCTCCCTGTCACATTGTGGGGGGCCAGCTCTCCCTGTCGCCCCCACTCCGTGGGGCATAGCTGCCCTGCTTCCCTGGCAACGGGGCTCCCACAGTGTCACTTCCGCTTGCCAGCCCTGACTGGGCTCATTGTCGGGGAGCCCCCGGCCAGGGAACACGGGGGGCATTGTCCCCCGGAACAGGATGAAGTCATTGCAGCCGTGCTGACAAAAGGGGGATTGTTGCCAACGGTCTTGTGCCCCCCCTCCTGGTCTCATTCCCACAACACCATTGAAGCTGACACAGAGCCCCAGATCTGCTTAGCTACTGCCTCCCCCTTACAGTCCCTGTGCTGGCTCTGAGCTGCTTTGCCTGGGCATTTTGCCTCATGTCAGCCATTGAATGGGCATACGCTGGGCATGGCAGGTCCCTTGGGAACTCAGAGCAGGCCCTTCACATCCATTAAATCAGTTATCTATGTGACCACTTCAAATGCAAAGGAGAGGAATGACTGTGGTGTGGTTAAGGTGCTGCATTGGGGTACAGGACATTTGGGCTCAATATCCATCTCTGCCACAAACTACCTATGTGACCCTGGAGAAATCATTTTGGTCAAGATCCACAAAGGGACTCAGGTGTCTGTCTCTGTAGGTGCCTAAGTTCAACAATTAAGTGCCACTAACTTTCCCAAAACCCCCACTCAGCTGCCTCCTAACTCCATAGACAGCCACTAAGTCCTTATGTCACCCCACAGCTACTGAGCTGCTCAGAGCCCTTGTCCATTCTTCAACTGCAGTGGGATTGTCAAACTTTACTAGACATTCCCCTGAGCAGAGTCCCATCCAGCAGGCGTGCTCAGAGCACACCGATCAGGCAGTGTGTGTGTAAAATAGCCAGTAGCTCAATGGTCAGTGCACATGCCTGGGATGTGCGATACTCACCTTCAGCTCAGTCTCCCACAACCCAGCAGATCGCCCTGACCACTGGGCAACAGGTAGGCTTGGAAGGGCAAGATTTTGATCAGCAAATATGGCCAGACATCAATTTCACCTACACACACAAACTGACAAACATATTTATATTGATAACTGCAATGTACAGACAAGCAAAGTAAGAGAAATGCGGCTTGAGAATTTAGCAGAGTTTGATTTAAGTATATTTACTTGGTATATTTGGACATGTGATGTTGACAATTGGTGTTTTACCCGTAACTTTTTGAAACCCAACATCTATTGCCATTACATAATTATTGTCTACCCCCCCATTGTCTGATCTCCACCCATAATTTCCCACAACTGTGAACACTTACATTGATTTAAAAAAAGCTTACAAATAAACATGGATATTATCTATCACACTTATATAAGAATTAGGCAGCAGAAGATGTATATATACACTCTGCCAAGCCTAGCTCTAGGGTCCTCTCAGATGGGTCTCTCTCCACCATTCTCTTCTGTTAAAGCTGTTTCACTTTGAATAAATAATTACATATTTCTTGAAGCAGGAACCCAAACCTGCCTCATCCCAGGGGAGTACCCTAACCACTGGGCTATTAGGTATGATGGAGTTTCTGTGCTTTTATACAAGAAAGGAATATCCTGGCTTAGGCGCCTGGCTCCAGAAGAGAATTCATGGCTGAGAATCCCAAGCAGAGGGAGGTGTGTGGAGGCCCAGCTCAATGGGAGTTAGGTGCCTACGCATCTTTGTGAATCTGGTCCCTAAGCTCCTCCCCACTTTCCTGTGCACTTCACTCCTGGTTAACTTAAGTGGGTCCCTGCTCATCTTGCTGGCTTCTGAGAATTCCTGTCCTCAGCGCTTAACTCTCCCCATATAGTGCATGGATACCCAACTCAAGGCTCAGGATGCCACTAGGCAGCAGGGCACCTAAGAGTTAGGCATTGCAACACTCAGCATAACAATGCATACGTCCCTTTTTGGGTCTAGCCCTTCAGTCTCTCTGTGCCTCCATTTCCCCATCTGTAAAATGGGATAAAAATCCATCCTTTGGGCTATATAGACTGTAAACTCTTTGGGGCATGAACAGATTCTCACCGTGTGTCTATGCAGTGCCCAGCAGAATAAGGCACTAATGTTGGCCTGGGTCTATGAAGCATCTGGCACAATGAGGGCCCTGATCTTAGTCAGGTTTTGAGCCTCATCCACCACAACAAGGGCTTGATCTCGGTCAGGGTCTGTGCAGCACCCACAAGACCATGGTCTCAGCTGAGGTCTCTAGCTGCTACAATCACTCAAGCAGTAACAAAGATGTTTAGTTTTAAATTGAAGCCAGGAACTTCAAAGAGCAATGGGACATTTGCAAGGCTCACCACAACCTCCAGAGTTCTCGTAGTGAACAGTTTTACAAGAGGATTGGAAGGGACATAAACACTCGTGTGTCAAGGTTTAAGCCAGTCTCTATTAGGGGTTGGATCAAACCTTCATGAAGGCAGATTACTCCATATCTGCCCACTGTGGGATTCTCACACCTTCCTCTGAATCATCGGGTTCTGGTCTCTGTCAGAGACAGGACATTGGATTTAAATGGGCCATGACTCTGATCCAGTCTGGCAATTCCCATGTTTCCAACTGTTATGGGTGAGGTGAAAGATTGTTCAAACCAGTGGGTGTAAACACTGCCCTTCGTTTGGGACACATGTAAAAACAATTACACTCCTTTTCAGGTGGCTGAAATGAGTGAGGAAGGAATTTTACCACCAACGCACAATTGGCCTGGTTTGTTCGGCTTTTTTTGCATTCCTCTGAAGCATCAGGGATTGGAGACTGGACACCAGAGAGGGTAGGCCAGGCTCTGAGGTGGTTCAGAATCCAGTTAATCCTCTGTCTAGCTGCCTGGCTGCTTGCTCAGGATCCAGCGGATCATCAGATTTAGGGTCAGGGAGAAATTTCCCTCAAGTCAGATTGGCAGGGACCTTTGTGTTTTTTCACCTTCCTCTGTAGCATGGGTCACCAGCGGGGGTCATCTGTCCGACCTCATCAATTCCCTGTCATCACAGGGCCTCCCGCATGGGTGGCCGCCTGGTTTCTCCTGTTCTTTGCCTGCAGTACACAACAGTTTAGTTTCCTGAGGAGGACTGAAATCTTTGGTCAAACTAAAGTCATTGGGCTCAATATGGGATAAATGAGCAAAACTAAGTGGACTGTGCTGTACAGGAGGACTGATGGTCCCTTCTGTCCTTAAAACTCTATGAAACAATAGGGGCCTCCACCCCAACCACAGGCATATGTCACACTGCCCAAAACAAGGTGCATGTGGTGGGCAGAGGTGTTTGATGGGTATCATTTTAGCCGAGGTATGCATGAGAAAGAGAAGCCGAGAAGGATCAGAAAGCCAGGGGCTCAGCCCAGAGAAGCAGGGAGAAAAGCCCAGGGGGAGTGAGAGCTTTTTGGGCTAAGGGCTACCTGAAAGAGGCACATTGTGACTGTGAGCAAAGTTGCACTAGCCGCGGAGACCAGAGGGACAGGGTCTTTCCAGTTTGCTGACCATTCTGAAAAATTGAAGAAAACTAGGGTTGACCCAAACTGAAAGTTTTTCAAATTTGGCAGTGAATCAAAAAGCTGGAAAAAAAATCCTGTTTCCGTCAAACCATTTGGTTTCCAAACTTGTTTATGCGTTCTCTGAATTTTGTTTAAATAAAATCAAAGTAAATTTTGAAAGGACAAGTCATTTTGAACTGGAAAAACTGAAATATTTCCTTTCAAAAATTACCAAATATTTTGGATTTTTTTAAAACCAAAACAATTTGGCAAATTTGACACAAATTCACAACATTTTTCGGTCAGCCCAAATCTGCATTTTTTGGCCCAACGTTTTGGCTGAAAAATGTTGCCTAGCTTCAATCCTAACCGGTGTTACCCTGAATTTTGGCTAACTGTGGGGGTCAGAAGGGAGTAATCTACATTACATGCTACACATAGAGGCAGGCAGCTGAATTGCCTGGCATCTGCCCATTGCTGCTTCACCGTCATTGAGGCCAGGGCAGCGCAGGGGAACAAAGTTGTGCTCAGCTGCCCAGTGAACCCTAATAGTGGAGGGGAGCAGCCACGCAGGGAAGGGGGCCTGGTGGGGAAACAGAGGTTGATTTAACAGCTGTTGCCACTAGTGTCTGTTCCGTGCTGGGGATCCTGAATGAAGGTGGCGAGGTGGAAGCGATCGCAGCAGCTGAGGGGAGAGTGTTGGAGGGCTTCAGCAGGCCAGAGAAGCATGAGGGCAGCACTGGGGATCATGGGAACCGTATGTGTTAGCGCAGGCAGGGAGCTGAAGTCTGTGTTCCAGCCCCCACCCGTGCTGGGCGGCAGGCATCAGAAGAGCCCGATCTCGGGTTTACACGTTCGTGCTGCCTTACAATGGGTTGGCTGGGGATAGAACCCAGGCGTCCTGGCTCCCAGCCCCCACTGGCCTCCCAGAGCTGGGACAGAACCCAGGCGTCCTGGCTCCCAGCCCCCACTGGCCTCCCAGAGCTGGGACAGAACCCAGGCGTCCTGGCTCCCAGAGCGAGGCAGGAGCTAGACCCTCGCCCCCGGCAGCGGCCTGGCCTCATACCTGTCCCGGCCTAGTGCCAGGATGCAGCGCAGAGCCGCACCGGGCTCTGCCACCCCGCCTCCGCCACGGCGCCCAGTAGCTGGGGCTGGGGGCGGGGCCCGGCCGTCACCACTCCCCCCCTCCCCGACGGGCGGGGCCGGGCAGCTGCAGCTGCTGCCGGAGGAGGCCGGAAAAATGGCGGCTGGGGCCCAGAGTAAGTCTCTATGACAACCGGTCTCCTCCCCCCCCGTGCAGGCTCCTTT